GTCACGGAAACGTCATCGTCGTCTCCCGCGGTCACGGAAACGTCATCGTCGTCTCCCGCGGTCACGGAAACGTCATCGCCGTCTCCCGCGGTCACAGAAAAGTCATCGTCGTCTCCCACGGTCACGGAAACGTCATCGTCGTCGTCCGCGATCTCGGCAAAATCATGAATATTTCCCGCGGCAGTGTATACATCATCGTTTATACCGCGGTCACGTAAACGTCATCGTCGTCTCCCGCGGTCACGTAAACGTCATCGTCGTCTCCCGCGGTCACGGAAACGTCATCGTCGTCTCCCGCGGTCACGGAAACGTCATCGTCGTCTCCCGCGGTCACGGAAACGTCATCGTCGTCTCCCGCGGTCACGGAAACGTCATCGTCGTCTCCCGCGGTCACGGAAACGTCATCGTCACGTCTCGCGATCACTGAAACGTCATCGTCGTCTCCCGTGGTCACGAAAACGCAATCGCGGCAAGACGTATTTTACGACTACAATCTTCTACCGGGGCCAAAATAAAAATCCCGGAATCGGTCCAAAAATCCCGGCTTTTTCCCGGTTTTTTCCAGGTCCCTTCAAATTCAAGGTTATTTCCCGGTTCTCCCGGTTTTCCCGGTTGGTATACACCCTGAATTACAAATGGGCTTATGGTGATTAAAAAAGCAAGAATGGAATAGGAACCATTTAACACTTATAACCCCCACGACGACAATAACCTCTATGGTTAGTCAATGTAACAAATTTTTTACAAGCGTAGCAAAAGATTTTCATTCTCATGTTTCTGTTTCAGAATCTGTTAAGAGCGCAAAAAAGGCATCTTTAAAAGTTCCTAATTCTTTCAAGTTTCAATAGGTATCAGAATCTTTTGTCTTTTCATGTATAAAAAAACTCAAAAATTATAAAATCTTTAGCTCCTTGCATCTTAAAACCTCTAACTCATTGTATCAATATATCACTGTTAGCAGGCTCTTTTCCAGACAAATTAAAATATGCACAAATCAAACCAGTATTTAAAAAGGTGACTCCCATGAAATATCTAACTAACTATTGACCAATCGCTCTTTTGCCAGTCATCTCAAAGTTGTTTGAAGAGGCTGCTCTATCACAGCTAGTTCCATTCCTTGAAACAAACGAATTACTCAACAAAGATCAGTTTGGTTTTAGAAAAAAAAGGAGTACCTCAGATGCAGTAGTTGAGCTTACTTCTGATACTGTGGAGGCCCTGGATAGATCCCAGAGGGCAATTGGTGTTTTCTGTGATCTTTCCAAGGCCTTCGACTGTGTTAGGCATGACATTCTTCTGGAAAAACTTAAACTATATGGAATTGTTGGTTCTTCCTTGGCCTGGTTCAAATGCTATCTTCAGGGACGTTATCAACGAGTTGTAATAAAAGATAAATCTAACATTAAAAATTTCTCAAACTGGTGTCCGGTTCTTCATGGCGTTCCTCAAGGGTCTAAAGTTGGACCTCTTCTTTTTATTCTCTACATAAATGATCTAGCTGCCACATTGGATTCCAGAATCATACAATTTGCCGATGACACCACTGTGTTGGTCAAAACCCCATCTGTTGCCCTAGCGTCTATCAAAGCATCGGAAAATTTGAACAAAATAGAACTTTGTTTAAAACAAAATGGTCTTCATCTCAACTGTTCAAAAACACACTTACTTCATTTTCACAATCCACAGTTAAATACAGAAAAGGTAACCATCAGCTTGGATTCTGGGGAACAAATCAAGGCTTCAGAAAACATAAAATTTCTGGGTTTGTATATGAATGAACATTTAAAATGGACAGAACATCAATTTCAGGTGACTAAATCGTTAGCCAAAGCTTTGTTTGGATTAAGGGTAAGGGTCATCTTCAAAACAACGGGACTAAATGCTGCTTTGACTGTTTACCATTCCTATTTTATGTCCAGGGCTTGCTTTGGCATTATTTCTTCGGGCAGCTCTCCGATCATAGATGGGTTTTTTATTCTTCAAAATGTAACAATTCAATATTTCCACTTATATTTTTCATAGATAATTTTAACTTTCACCATATGTTTTTCTTTGTATCAATATGTCAATTTATCAAACCTTGTATAATATATGACCAAACAGACCAATGGGTAATTGATTCGAAACAATATAATGTAGAAATTTTCAAATAACATAATTTTGTGTAAATATATAATAGCCTATATAACTTTTGTAACAAAATTGCTTCAAATTCAATATAATTTTATTTAAATAACTTTTCAAAATTATAATTTAGCTCTCTAGCAAATTAAATTTGTTATAATATATGTGTGAACAGTGGCTTACAATTTTATGTGATTAAGTCAGCATTGACATATGTGAGTGCAACAATGCATCAGACCTTCATGACTTCCAATGGAGCTGAGCTAATATGAAGATGTAAATTGGATACTACCTATTTTAATATCAAAATTTATAAAAAAGTGTCTATATTTGAACCTAAATTAGTGAAATTCGATTGAAAAAGAACCGTCCTTATTACAAACATTAATAATTAAGTTACAACATCAAGAAATTTTGCTGCGAAGAAGACATCAATTTGGTGAGATCACTCCAATAGACATTTCCCCTTTGGAAGCCATTAAAACATTTTTAGGCCTAACCTTTGGACATTTGTACTCAAATTCAAAGTCAAGAAACTAATAGAAGCTTAATATTCAGAACTTTAATTAATTCAACCAATCTATAATTTGAACCTATTTTATATTTCAAACAAAATTTTAATTAGGCTATATAAAATCACAAGATTAAATTCAAATGCCGCTCGATCACCCCACCTGAGAAAGATTCATGCAATAAATTATAACACCTGAACCTTTAGAACTATTGTAATAGGCTTAGCCTAAAGCTTTCATTATTAAATTCATTCCCCACTGATTGTAAACTTTATTGTGAACCCTTTATTTTCTTTTAATATCAATTTTGTATTTTAATTAAATAAATTTAAGTTTCGATATTGTACATGGAGTTTCCATTGTATTCTTAATTTTAAGGTTGATTACAAAAAAAAGGCCATAAGAGTTTTAACTGACACTGCACCTCGTACTTCTTGTCGTCCTCTGTTTGTACATTTGAAACTATTAACAATTCATGCTGTGTATATACAGGGTGAATAACAAGTCAAGACCCCCACCTCTAATATTTTTCCAAGTAAATATACAGAGATATCCTTTTGGTGGTCGAGCAATCTTAGCAGGAAGTTTCATTTTATCATTTTGACATTTTTGAGTGTCCCCCAAAAGGGGGGATTTGGGGGGCAACTCAAATATTTTAAATGTAAACCCCCTTCAAGTGACACCTCATTTTGAAGTGTTTACAAAAACGTAAAGAATGGTGAAAACTAGAGGTCGCTATCTATTCTCTATCCAAAATGGTAGCTCCTCAAATGGTGGAAAATCAACGGTAAAATTGTTAATATTGGCTGCCATTTTGGATAGAGAAGAGATAGCGAGCTCTGGTTTTCACCATTCTTTAAGTTTTTGTAAACACTTCAAAATGAGATGTCACTTGAAGGGGGTTTCGATTTAAAATTTTTGAGTGTCCCCCAAAAGGGGGGATTTGGGGTACAACTAAAAATGTTTCAATAGAAACCCCTATCAAGTGACACTTCATTTTGAAGTCATTTTGAAGACACCCATAAAATGTAATTCCTTTTCAAAGGGAACTTTCCATATACTTGATGTTGAAAATACCTCAGCTGTAGTACTTATTTGTATGTTATTCTTTCAATTTATTACCTTAATCAGGGGGGATTATTTGTTTGTATTAGGTATTACTGTATTCTGTTTTGTTTATTTCAGCTTAACTAAACCAATCAATAGTTTTATTAAAACCATTAGAGTATAATACTTATGAAGTCAAACGGGATGAAGCCCATGGGTAACAGCTAGTTAGTATAGGATTCTTTCAGTTGCATCATTTGTTTATGTTTATGATCCATACTGAGTCTGTTCTAATATTTGTGAAATGCTGTAATAATATTTTACAGGGAATAAGTCATTGTAAAAGAAATTATTCATGGAAATAGGAAATAAAATACCTCCGCCACATCAAACCTGCAGACTAAGCAAATTCCCATCTGTCCGATTATAATTTTATGTTAGAAAACTACACTTTTGGCAGGTTTGGAAGAATTGTGCTAGATTTTCGCTTACAGTACAAACCATTCAACATGTTATTTGATTATTCATAAAATCTATCATTGATTTTGTATCCTAAATAAGTGTTTACAGTCCGAGTTAAAAAAATCTTACTATTATCAAATTAAGTAATACAGATCAATTTTGTTTCTAAATTAAATGGTAGGTGTGAAACCATTTTTAAAGCATTTGCAAAGAACCAACATTGCCTCTTTTGCATACTGACCCCTTTGCAAGGCACAGATATAGCTGCTAGTTTAATCTAAAACTTTATGATAAGCTAGATTATTTATTCTAAATTTATTTCAATGATTATGAAACAGATTTTTCTTCCCGTTGCGAATCTTGGGTACAGCAGCTAGTATATATATATATATAATTAAATGCTATAAATATTTGATAAGCATGTAAAATGCAAAGCATAGGCCTATAAACATGTGTTTTTCACACTATATTTTTCAAAGTATAAAATAATTACTTTTGATTTTTTCATTTTAAAGCTGGCATATAAGACAGTCTATATCTTTCTACAAGTCTATCAATATGATGAATTATTCGACTTTGGTTATTTTCTAGATCTTATATCACAAAAAGGACCGAACCAAAACAAATAAAATTTCTGTTATAAGCACCACAGGTGTAGTTACTATAATTATAATGTAAGTTTGACCATTAAGACTCATCTAGTATAAAAAATAAAGTTGAAATTTTTACAAAATTCCTGATGTTTATAAATTTATGTTTCTGGTTATTTAAACATAAAAAAATCAAATTACTGGTTTTCCTTCACATAGCATAATTGAAAATGCACATAATGCACTACAAGGTAGGCATACTCACATCTACCATGGGTCTGTGATTAAAATGCTGGGAATGCTTTCTAATGATCTTTGCTCGGTAGTATTTGGGTTCAGTTTCTCCTTCGTCTCTGAAGGGAGCCGCGTATATGACGTTGTCATCAACCTCGTCACAGGCACACAGCAAGTCGGAATTGTTCAACAGCATAAATACATCTTTCAGCTTCTCCTGGGTTTCAGGGCAGATATGTCCATAGAAACTGCCAGCATTCTCCACCTGCTCATACAATCCAAAAAATAACATCATAACCTACAACCAATAGGCTAGTCATAAAGTTCAAAGAAAATACAGGGTGAGTTTCTACTGACGCCCATAACTTCGCCAGTGGATTCTACTGATCAAAATGAACAAAAAAGTTGCTATAAACCCTAGTCCGATTCCTAACCGTTTGGTCATAATTGAGAATTTTGTATTTTCTAACAATATTGGACTTTCTGCTACTATTTACTTTATAAGAATAAAACCAATCAATCTAGCGATTTATATTAAAAATAATTCAAAAGGGCATTAAATTTACTACAAAACCAAGGTTACATGAAAAAATATTTCATTACATACATCGGTTCCTAGCCGAATTAAAGTAAAAAATATCGTATAATAGTTATTTTGTTTAAGTTTAAAGACCCCTTTTTCTTACTTTATCCTGGTGCCACGCAATGTCCAACTAGATAAAATACTTTCTCATTTAATAAGCTTTAAATTGATATGCAATTTTAAATTGTTGTAGGTAGAATTGACAGAAAAACTACTATGAAACTAAATAAAAACCAGGTTTACGAGTAAGGGCATTCTTATTTAATACGACGCAAATGAACACAACATTTTCATACAGTAACTCAATGGTTACTTTGCATTAACAAATTAATTACAAGCATTTAGAATAGACAATGTTGATTGCTTCTTAAGCAAGTTTTCGAAATGACCACCATTTTTCAATGACTTTTCAAGACTAATTCCAGATTTTTCAAGACTAGTTTTTTCCACAATTAGTGGGTGTTGATACCAAAATGTATCGATTCTCAATTCTTGATACCGATACCAATTTTTATCGCTTAACCAAATTTTCTAAATAATACTACACCATCTCTTTGTCTTTGTCATAAAGTAGTATTATGATAATGTTGTGTTTCAAGTAAAGAAATAATGCAGCAATAAAAAATTCTAATAGCGAATTTGTTTTTCTTTACCATGAAATCTTCCGCGTACAGTACTTTTAGACATCATCATTGACTGCAGCGGTTACAGAAACGTGATCGTTGTCGTCCGCGATCACGGCAAAATCATGAACATTTCCCACGGCCGTGTATACATCATCGTCGTCTCATGCGGTCACGGAAACTTCATCGTCATCTCCCGCGGTCACGGAAACGTAATCGTCGTCGTCCGCGATCGCGACAAAATCATGAATATTTCCCGTGGCCGAGCAGATATCATCGTCGACTCCCGCGGTCACGGAAACGTCATCGTCATCTCCCGCGGTCACGGAAACGTCATCGTCGTCGTCCGCGATCGCGGCAAAATCATGAACATTTCCCGCGGCTGTTTAGACATCACCGTCGTCTCCCACGGTCACGGAAACGTCGTCGTCGTCCGCGATCACGGAAAAATCATGAGCATTTCCCGCGGCCGTGTAGACCCGCGGTCACGGAAACGTCATCGTCATCTCCCGCGGTCACGGAAACGTCATCGTCATCTCCCGCGGTCACGGAAACGTCATCGTCATCTCCCGCGGTCACGGAAACGTCATCGTCATCTCCCGCGTTCACGGAAACGTTATCGTCGACATCCGCAATCGCGGCAAAATCATGAACATTTCCCGCGGCTGTTTAGACATCACCGTCATCTCCCGCGGTCACGGAAACGTCATCGTCATCTCCCGCGGTCACGGAAACGTTATCGTCGACATCCGCAATCGCGGCAAAATCATGAACATTTCCCGCGGCTGTTTAGACATCAGCGTCGTCTCCCGCGGTCACGAAAACGTCATCGTTATCTCCCGCGGTCACGGAAACGTCATCGTCGTCGTCCGCGATCAAGGCAAAATCATGAACATTTCCCGCGGCTGTTTAGACATCACCGTCGTCTCCCACGGTGACGGAAACGTCGTCGTCGTCCGCGATCACGGCGAAATCATGAGCATTTCCCGCGGCCGTGTAGACCCGCGGTCACGGAAACGTCATCGTCATCTCCCGCGGTCACGGAAACGTCATCGTCATCTCCCGCGGTCACGGAAACGTCATCGTCATATCCCGCGGTCACGGAAACGTTATCGTCGACATCCGCAATCGCGGCAAAATCATGAACATTTCCCGCGGCCGAGCAGATATCATCGTCGTCTCCCGCGGTCACGGAAACGTCATCATCGTCATCTCCCGCGGTCACGGAAACGTTATCATCGACGACCGCGATCACGGCAAAATCATGAACATTTCCCGCGGCCGTGTAGACATCGTCGTCGTCTCCCGCGGTCACGGAAACGTCATCGTCATCTCCCTCGGTCACGGAAACGTTATCATCGACGTCCGCGATCACGGCAAAATCATGAACATTTCCCGCGGCCGTGTAGACATCATCGTCGTCTCCCGCGGTCACGGAAACTTCATCGTCATCTCCCGCGGTCACGGAAACGTCATCGTCGTCGTCCACTATCGCGGCAAAATCTTGAACATTTCCCGAGGCCGTGAGGACAATCATCATAGGCTTTCGCCGTTGCGTAAACGGAAGACGACGATCGCGGCACAATCATAAAAATTCCCGACTTTGAAATCAAATTTAAGACTAAATCCCGACTTTTCAAGACCATTTTGAAATTCAATACTAATTCCCGACTTTCCCGATTTTTCCGACTACTAGACACCCTGATGGATCCTTTCACAGGTTCAGAATATGCTGATATGCATTATGTTTGTGGTTTTTGTTCTGGAAATGCGTCTGAAAGTGTTCGCGAGTACATTCGACGCTTTCCATACAGGCGGATTCCTGATCGAAAAACATTTATTCGCGTCTACCAGTGTTTGCGTGAAAATGGAAAGTTTCCCACCAACGGCCGCTTAGTTGGCAACTTTATGCAAGATGTCGGATTGGAAGAGGCTGTCTTGGAACGGGTAAGTGAAGATCCAAGGATAAGTACGAGGACATTAGCCCGTGAGTTTGGGGTATCTCAAACATTTGTGTCAAAACTATTATGAAAAGAGGGGTTGCACCCATTTTATTTCACGCGCGTCCAGAAACTTGAGCCGAGAGATCCACCTCAGAGGCTCCAGTTTTGTCAGTGGATCCGGCAACATGACAGCAGGGATTTCCTGAAAACAATTTTATGGACTGATGAATGTTCGTTTACGAGAGATGGCGTCTTTAATTTCCATAATGAGCATCACTATGCTGACGATAATCCGCACCTCGTTCGTGAATCTAGGAGTCAGTCACGATTCAAGGTAAATGTGTGGGCTGGACTGATAGGAAATCGAGTGATTGTACCATATCTTGACCTTCCTCCAACACTGAATGGAGTTGACTACTTACAGTTCCTAACTAAAATCCTACCAGAACTCCTGGAGGACATTCCATTGAATTTGCGTGATCGCATTGTGTACCAAGCTGATGGCGCACCTCCGCACTTCAATCTCAATGTAAGTTACGTGACTATTTAAGCAACAATTTCCGCTTGTGGATAGGAAGAGGTGAAACCGTTGCCTGGCCTCCTCGGTCACTCCATTGGATTATTACTTTTGGGGGTACCTTAAACAAGAGGTTTATCGGACGCCAGTGGAATCAGCTGAAGAAGTGAGAAACCGAATTGTCACAGCTACTGCACGACTACGCAATACGGTAAACTTGAATGCTACTGTTAGAGAGTTGAGAAAACGTGTCCGCATCTGCATCAGACAAAATGGTGGTCATTTCGAAAACTTGCTTAAGAAGCAATCAACATTGTCTATTCTAAATGCTTGTAATTAATTTGTTAATGCAAAGTAACCATTGAGTTACTGTATGAAAATGTTGTGTTCATTTGCGTCGTATTAAATAAGAATGCCCTTACTCGTAAACCTGGTTTTTATTTAGTTTCATAGTAGTTTTTCTGTCAATTCTACCTACAACAATTTAAAATTGCATATCAATTTAAAGCTTATTAAATGAGGAAGTTTTTTATCTAGTTGGACATTGCGTGGCACCAGGATAAAGTAAGAAATACCCCCGTCGCAGCAAACCTGCATACTAAGCGAATTTCCATTTACCCGGCTTGATTTCTACTAAAATATTCCCTATAAATTTTCAGATTTATTTCCTATTTAAATAACATTAATTTTAGTGAGTAGTTAGGTTTGCTGCTACGGGGAAGATGTTGAGATGTGTTTTTTCAATTGAAATATTGATAGCTTAGTATGAAATAAACCAAATTGCCAAATTTGATTAAAATATATCCATAAACAAGCAAACTAGAACAGTTTATTTATTCTCCATAATAATAACATGGGAATTTTAAATTTACAATTTTTTAAATTTTCTCCGTAGTCAATGAACATTCAAAAACACTTCAATATATCAAATTATTTGTTTTTTTAAGCTCTTCAAAATGGTCTAGAGAGAAATTTAGAAATTTTAAGTTTTTAGGGTCAAAAATGAGAAAAACCCATTTTTACCCCATAAAACCCCCCATAAACCCCTGATCCCATGGTCCGATTATGCTGGTTCGCGAACTCGTTCGAATAAATGTAGGTTTACACGTTTGTACCAAATTTCATCAAAATCGGATCAATTTTGCTCGAGTTATCGCGCTAACGGACATATATGTAAATATATATATATATAAATATATATATATATAAATATATATATATATATATATATATGAATTTGAACGGATGGTGTTTTTGGCCTCTGGGGACCTCAAAACGAAAAAGAAAATCGGTCCCGGGTCTAGGTCTTACCATGAGACCTACGGTAATAGCTTATTCCCTATATGGGAAATTCGCTAAAAGGGGTCTTTAAACTTAACTTAACAAAATAACTATTATATGATATTTTTTACTTTAATTCGGCTAGGGACCGATGTATGTAATGAAATATTTTTTCATGTAACCTTGGTTTTGTGGCAAATTTAATGCCCTTTCGAATTATTTTTAATATAAATCACTAGATTAATTGGTTTTATTCTTATAAAGTAAATAGTAGCAGAAAGTCCAATATTGTTAGAAAATACAAAATTCTCAATTACGTACGACCAAACGGTTCGGAATCGGACTAGGGTTTACAGCAACTTTTTTGTTCATTTTGATCAGTAGAATCCACTGGCGAAGTTATGGGCGTCAGTAGAAACTCACCCTGTATAATAAGAGTATTGATTGTAATATTGTATTGTAATACATACATGGATTTATAAGTATCTAGGGGTAGGCAAGTACTCGACTTTCGAGAAATTACTCTGCTTTTCCAAATACTCAATTTCGAGTCGAGTAGTAGCTACTACTTGAAAATTTGAGTCAAATAGTAAAGTGTGAATTTAATAAATGATATTTGTTTTTGTGTTAATGTCTTATTGAATCCCCATTCCTACAAAGAACTACTATCTAATTTAATATAGGCTAGTCCAGCGTAATACTATAATGTTCAACAAACAACCATCCATATCGTCATGCGGCAGAGCTAGCAAGAGGTCTACTACTTTCCTGCAATACGTCTTGATAACGATATGGTAAGTTAAAAGATAAGGAAAAAACAAAATCTCTAGTCAAACCGGGCAAGGGATTGCTGTCCGGAAAAACAACTTTGTATCATTGTCCTTTAATTAGAATCCCCGGCCACGCCAGCCCTGTGGTGCAAGTCTAAATATAGCTTCAATGTTGCACTCTCCCCTTCCCCCTTACCGATTCCACTCGCCATGGCCATACCATTGGCGGATCTAGAACAGTCATGGGGGGGGGGGGCGAAAAAGGGGGCCTGGGGGGTTTGGTTAAAATTTGAGTAAACTAAGTCTCCAAAATGCCAGTTTTAAAGCTTTTTCTTTGTCTAAAGTTAGTGTGACAAATTATTTTACGCAATGTGTATGCACTACTGTATTACGTGCAGTAAAAAATAAACGTGTATGTACGCCCGTATTTATCACGTATTAATAGTATACTTGAATTTATCACCTAGTAATAAATTATGAAAATCCTAAACAAACATCTGGTAAACTTTTTTATGTGCTACTAACCAACACAGTGAATTGAAAGTAATTAATTATTACTATAGGCTGTATCGAACCGAAACTGTTCTAGTAAAATACTGTACCAAACCGATGACGGTAATTGTACAGACTTTTTCGGTGTACTGCAGACCCCTGATAGAAAGTAAAATAAACTGATTCTGTTTGTGATTTTGGTTGTGCAATTTTCAATCCATGGTGGTAGCAACATGACAACTGCAGTTTGAAGTTGATTGTAACATAACCTAGAAATTTGTGAGTTTCAGTAAAGGCCAAATTAATATACCCGGCTACAGTGACAGATCACGCCATGGCCGCGGAGTCATACCGACAATCACGCCATGGCCGCGGAGTCATAACGACGATCACGCAGTGACCGCGAGTCGTACAGACGATTCGGCCGTGACCGCAGCCATACCGAAGATCACACCGAGACCGCGGAATCATATTGACGATTCTGCCGAGATCGTGAGTCATACCGACGATCACGCCGTGACCGGTGGAGTCATGACGACGCCCCAATGATCACGCCGTGACCGCAAGTCATACCGACTATCACGCTGTGACCGCGTGTCATACCAACGATCAAGCCATGATCGTGGTGTCATACCGACGATTCCTCAGCGTCCGCAAGTCATACCGACGATCACGCCGTGACCACGGAGTCATACCGACTTTCACGCTGTGACGCTGTTTCTTTATTTAAATTATTTTTAAAGTTATTAGTTAGGTTATTTATCATGTTAGTAAGGAGGAAGAAAAGTTAAGTATAGATAAAACACACAATAACAAGTGATTGTGATTGATGCTGCAGCCAACAAGTAGGCTAGGCATAATTTTTTAGTGGGCCTAATAATAATAATTTAATTATTAACCATATAACTTAGAAATTTTTTTGGATACTTAAACTACTTATTTAGGCCTAGGCCTACTTACATTCAACTACTCGACTCGAGTTTTTACTCAAATATTCGACTCTACTTGAAAAATCACTACTCGCTCACCCCTTTAAAATATGTAAACAAATAAAATAAATAAACAGTGTCACATATGTTTTGAGTTCAATTTAAATTTTTGATTAAGTAGTTAGGTTGATTTTTTAAGATGTTTAGGTATTTGATTCTTTTCTGATTTCTCAATTTTTTTTATGGATTGGAGTTTGTTTTTGTCTTTTCATTATAAAAATAATTAAATAAGGAGTTTTGGATGATTTTAAATTCTTCTTTTATATCCTTTTTCTTATAATTAAGAACTTTTCTATTTTAAACACAATTTTTTATTTTCCGTCGTTATGATAGTTTTCTTTTCTCCACCCTAAATCTGGGAACTGAACCTCAGGTATTGGGCGGGTAGCAGGTGGCGGATAGCGATCGCTCCACCAGGCTACGAATTAGGGGAAACCTAAATAAGCAGTCCTGGACTGAGGCGGCAGCACTAGAGGGCGTGGGAGGGTGATCTGTGGCAGGGTCACACTCCGCAAGTCGGTTATCACAATAAAAATTTGACAGGTTTGGTCAGGTGTATAAATATTTACACGTTAATAGAAAATTTGATCAAAATCGGATTATTTTAAATCAAGGTGTTGAATAGTACGTTGGTAAAGTTAGTTAGTTTAAGAAGTTTAAAAGTTTGATAAAACTGAAATAAGTTAAGAATTTTTTGAACACAGTTTTATTTATCCATAGTAAAAATAATTATACATTGAAAACAATAACAAATTATATCCAACCAGCTTACATTTAATATATTAATTTAATCCATGCCTTTGGCACACAAGTGCAAAAATAGACATATTAAAATACAGTAGAACCCCGGTTAACCGAAATAATGTACTACCACGGGGAAAAATGAATTTAAAACAATGTCTATATAATACGGCATTTTATTTCAGCTACAGAAATGTTACAATGGGTTAGAGTAGGCTAAACAAGTGAAGTTACTAAAGCATTTTACATTACGTAGCCTATTACTTACATTTTAGCCCTGTATTATTTTATGGAACCGTTTTGGTTAACCCGAGTTTCAGTTAACCTGAATTCGGTTAACCAGGGTTCTACCGTAGATGACAAATAAATCAGTCCCGGATCCAGGTCTTACCGTAAGACCCACGGTATTAGACTATTCCCTATAAGAGAAATTTGCTAAACGGCACTTTTAATAATTTTAAGGACTTCATATCAAATAAACTTTATTTAATTACAAAAGAATGAAAAACTTTCTTACATGAGAAACAGTCATTTCAACTATCTGTTGGTCCCACGGTATTAAGGGCTTGTATTCTGATGATTGCAATCTAGAGGAAAGTTTTGATCTTCTTGATGATTCAAGCGCAAGCAATCTCTCCTTGGCTTCAGAGGACCTAACAAATAAAACAGATGCATCAAAATAGCTTATAAGTAGTTTCCAAAACTAACTAATTTTATGTGTTTCCAAGCAGGAAAACTAAACTGCAAAATCTGCAAAGAATTGTAGTTGATAACAACACAATTCAAAATAAAGACCACATCAAATTCTTGGTAGGGGTCTGCGGTACAGAAAATTTAAGGTCGGTACGGTTCGGTACGGTACAATATTTTGTACCTCGGTTCTCGGTACAAAATCGGTACGGCACGTGGCTACCCATATTTTTGCGGTTTTTTGCTCAGAACTGTATTTAAACCATTATTTTTAACTTTAATACATTGACATGACTATGAAAATGTATAGTATCCTACATTCATGGTTTTCTAACAACAATTACTGTACCACACATTATTAAAACAATACCTTTTACTACTACGAGGATTGTGTCAAGAAAAATCACAGTTAAGATAAAGGCTTTACCTATTTTACTCTGAGATACTTTGAATAGCCATGATAAAAGTGGTTTTAAAAATAGGATAAGAGTTTTTATTAACAAACATGTTTGAAACATTTATTGACAAGATAATGTCACACAACTGGTAAACTATTTCCAACCAACACAATGTCTAGTTGTTTTTAAAATAAAAAAATAAAAAATAAGCCTAAAAGCATTCAGTATACGATGACAGTGTAATTGCCAGCTGTTCATTAGAGGTTATGATGAAGTAATGACAAAGAGCATATTTTTTATCAGCTTCAAAACTAGTTATAAGATGGATACAGCTCTTGAAAAGTTTTTTTTTTTTTTTAAACTAAAATTTGGATTATCACAGAGTAAGATTATTGTCTTTTCATTTACAAAGTTAACATCCACAATATCAATCATATCAATCATTAGTTTATCTTAGGCTCAATTTTCTTAGTATATTTTAAAGCTCTTCCAATGAATCAAAAGACCCAGGCCTAGACCTAATTATTTAGGAGAGCCTATATATCACGTTGTGATCGTCAAAATGACTTGCGGTCACGGCATGATCGTCGGTATGACTCGCGGTCACGGTATGATCATCGGTATGAATCCATGGCCACGGTGTGAACGTCGGTATGACTCCGCGGACACGGCGCGATCGTCAGTATGACTCCGCGTTTACGGCATGATCGTCGGTATGACTCCGCGGTTACGGCGCGATCGTCGGTATAACTCTGCGTTCACGGCATGATCGTCGGTATGACTCGCGTTCACGACATGATCGTCGGTGTGAATCCGCGGCCACGGCGCGATCGTCGGTATGACTCGCGGTCACGGCATGATCGTCTGTATGACTCACGGTCACGGCATGATCGTCGGTATGAGTCCGCGATTACGGCGCGATCAACAGTATGACTCCACGGTCACTAAGTGATCGTCGGTATGACTCGCGGTCACGGCACGAACGTCGGTATGACTCCGCGGATACGGCGCGATCGTCGGTATGACTCCGCGGACACGGCATGAACGTCGGTATGACTCACGGTCATGGCACGATTGTCGGTATGAGTCCGCGATTACGGCGCGATCGTCAGTATGACTCCGCGGTCACTAAGTGATCGTCGGTATGACTCCGCGGTCATGGTGCGTCGTCGGTATGACTCCGCGGTTACGAGGTGATCGTCGGTATGACTCGCGGTCTTTGTGGGATTGTCGGTATGACTCGTGGTATCTCCGGAATCGTCGGTATGACTCCGCGGTGACGGCGTGACCGTCGGTATGATTCCGCGGTTACGGCGCGACCGTCGGTATGACTCCGCGGTTACGGCGCGATCGTCGGTATGACTCCGCGATCACGGGGTGATCGTCGGTATGACTCGCGGTCTCTGCGGGATTTGGGATTTAATCCAATATTTTTGGAATTCCCGAATAAAATGTAATCCTGTCCCGTAAATCGGGACATTTTTTTTCCGAAAATTTCTTTAAATTTTGGGACCTGTCCATCCCTACTGTTTATGGAATGTATGTCTATGAAACAGTATTATCAGTAAAAGACAGATTCAATGTCTTTCTTAGTTTTCTCTTTATCCAAAAAATGTAAAATTCAGCATAGCTATCCCATATTGCCCAATCACAGCTTACTAAACATTACGTCGTCATCAGTCCTCAGTGAATGAAATCAGTTCTCAGTTGCAACATAGCGCACGCAGCGACAGCAGACAAAGATGTAAAACGGAGCAGACGAATGTTAGCGCAAGCGATGACGTGACCTTTCCATTCCATTTGATAAAGAAACAGATTTTCCCAAAACAATAATTGGGTGGGGGATTTGTTATATCGAGGGAAAGACGTAGACAATTCGTTATGCAGAGGTTAAATTCGCAATGTAGAGGTTCTGACAATGATAAATTTGTTATATTGAGGTGTCTTATTTTAGCCGAAATCACGAAAAATTTGTTAAATCAAGGTCGTTGTTATGGTTTGTTCGTTATGTAGAGGTAAAATATACATTGTGTCTTATGGAGGGTTCTAGGGGATTAAAAAAAATTCGTTATATCAAGGAATTCGTTATATCGAGGTTCGTTATATCAAGGTTAGATTGTATATTTTAAAGCTCTTCCAAAGAATCAAAAGACCCAGGCCTAGACCTAATTATTTAGGAGGGCCTATATATAAATTGATTAGGTTACAATGAGGGTAGCAAAATCACTATCTAGTTCATAAGATTTAGATTGCATAAAGTACCTTCAACACAACACAAAAAAATACAGGAAACTAAAAAACATTTTAAGCCTTAAACAGCCACATCTAACAATATAAGACAAGATACAGAACATGTAATGACATAATTTGAGACCGAGTAGGCTTGAATAACGAAAACAAAAATTATGCAAACAACAACTATGCTTGTGGGTTGTCAATAGAAAGATAAAATATCTATAACAAATATTTTAACTTATAAAATAAGATTGTAGATTAGTTACAAGTTTAATGTGTAGCCATAAACAGTTTTATGGCAGTAGGCAATGGCCAGCGGCAAATTGAATATACTGACTTGAGTTAGAGATAACAATTAACAGTCATCATAAAACTATTATTTTTATGATAAAATAGAATTGGAGAAAGTCGTAAAGAAATAAAGTGATAAAACTCAACAGTTCTTGGAAGTACTTGAATACAACAATGATTGTCGTGATAAAATGTTAATGGATTTGGAACTGATAATGGGGTTTTTATTGCATCATCACCCTAGTAATAAATTATGAAGATCTAAACAAACATCTGATAAGACTTTTATGTGCTCGGAACCAACTGTCCGTTGACTACGATAGTAAACTGAAAGTAATTTATTATTATAATTAGGCTGTACCAAACTTTTTCGGTGCACCGCAGACCCCTACTTCCTAAAGAAATCAAATTAGAAACTCCCAAATATAAATTTAAATCAAAATTGAAATAGTTTCTTATCAACAAGGCTATGTACTCCTTTGAAGAGTTTTAGTTTTATAAGTTATTAATTGCTCTACTTCATTTAAATTAAAACTTTTGGTTTTAAAATAATTTTATCTATATTTTTAATTTTGATATATTTATGTATACACTTCCATATTAAATTGCTTGTTTTAATTTATTTGATCTGAAAAGCTATTAATATTGATGGTATGTTGTTATGCCATGCATGATAATGATGAGTATTTTAGTTAAGTTAGTTTTATTAAATAAATTACTCTTGACGCCATTCCTGTATCTATGAATTGTACTTAAATGAATAAAGTTATATGAAATGAAATAGTCAACATTGATTATCATTCAAATGTGCATTGGCATTAAAATAAACGGTATCAGCAATCTGACACATACTTTCTCCCATAAGCTTGCCAACAACCTTTATAATGGTATTTTGACATAGCTAACACTAATTGTATTTGGTTGATTTGGCTAAATAAATGACTTATTACTTATGACTTAATGGGTGAGCGGTGCAAGTAAGTTAACTATGATAATTTTATAGGAAAAAATCACAAAAGTTGCAATAACTTTTGAACCGTAATTGTTAGTAATGGGGGTTGCATTATTTAGTTTTTAATTATAAGGACCATAACACATTAATTTTAGTCAAAAATGGTTTTTTTCTAAAATCTGATTTTTAGTAATTTTATGGGATTTTTTAATGGGAAAATAACACAAGTTACAATAACTTTTGAACTGTAATTTTTACAAATATATTAATTGTTAATTTAGTGGAAATTACATGTGGAGGCTAAGCCGTTGGCTGGACCGGGTATTTTGTTACACATTGTTCAAAAATTAAATTTAAAAAACAAGTCTATCAACTACTGAAAACCGGCAGACATAAATTAAATTATTAAGAGACTAGTTTACACTTCTTAGTTGAACTTACGAGAAAGTACGAATAGCTAGAGGTACGTTGAGCTGCCTCAGCTTGATGGCTCGATAAACTGGCATTACAATCTCCCCTGGGATATCAGCATGGAGCTCACGTTCCCCAATATCCTGGGTGCTCATTGACGTCTGATTGAACTCTACAATCAACTTCCTGTAAAATATATGAAAAATATGCACATGGAAAACTTTCAACAAAAACAATTGTTAGGGCCTTCTCTGGATTTATTAGAAGATTGCAACAAATATCAAATCCTCAAACGACAGTGACAACAGGACAGTGTGACAACAGGACAGTGTGACAACAGACGCTGAGCTAAATGATACTTACACTTCAACAAAGCCACAGTTACACCAATGTATTGTACCGAAATAATAACTGTATTACAAACATACAGGCACACAGAACTTAGGATATGACCTATACATACAATGCTATAGTAATTTCAATTAACAATTATTTAAATTCCAAAAGTTGTTTTATTTATTGTTCTAATAGTTATTTATTATTTGGTTGTATTCTACGTCTATGACAGCACCAATTTTAACCTTCCATCGGGCGCAACACGGAAGTGACCTCCGGGTCACTATTTTTTTTTGTTATAAAAACAATGGTACATGTTCGGCAGGGCTGTGGCCTGATTTACCTCACGAACCTCTTTTGCAGAATCGTTTTTGTATACTCTTACCCCTTTCCCAGTTGTCAGTCGACCTTGGGGAGTGGTTTGTGTCACTACTGGAAGTAGCTTCCATGAGCGCCCTGTGATGCAACGGGTTTCCCGGAGCCTAGTTCCGTGTGCACCCTTGTGTTTGAACTTATTTGACGATATTATAAAATGGATGAAGAAGAACTAATTGCGAGATTGTTGGCTAGTGTTGAAAGGGAGGACAAAGAACAACATTTAAAAGAATTAACTAATGATACGTGTGTTCGGAAAACTTTTTTTTTTCCAGAAAAAGAGCTTTGACAAAATGTGTGGTCTTTCTAACAAATGTTTTTTTGTATTAGACAATAGGTGTTTTATTTCAAACACCATTGCAATTTTTTTAAAGAGCTTTGACAGCAGTTGTCCTTGTACAAAATTATTATTTTTATTAGACCATGTACAGTAGACCCCCTCTTAACCGACCCTAATGGGACCGGACCTAGGTCGGATGATTCAAAAGGTCGGATAAAACGGGCAATCCCTAAAATCATAACATAATAAAGTGCTATTCATTTGGAATTATATAATCATTATTTTGAAGTCATACTTGTATTATTTATAAAATAAACTACTCTTATCTCCTTTTTCATACTGATAGAAATGTCACAAATAAACACAAAACATGGTTAAGTCAAATAGGCCTACTTTCAGTGAATATATTATAATACTAGGCAAGAGTCAATAAAATTCCTATTTTAATAACTTTACTACTGTAATGTACTAATTAATGTTTTCCAAATACATCGTAATACAGTAAAGAACCTTTTGTCGTCATTAAAGATACAAGCGACCATTTTGTTACAAGACAGGACGTTTATTTATAGCCTCTCACTGGAGGCTCGAGGCACAAAAACTATCTTGACCTTGGAGTTGTTAACACCCCTTCCCTACCCTCCCTACAAGTTGCGTTGTTTGTTTACTCCAGCGATAAGATAATCAGTTCTCAAAATCGTAACGCACTTTATGATGTTATAAATTTGCCGCACAGATAACATATCAGATCAGATTTGCTCGAGCTACGAACGATGATGACAAACTGACAATAGGCTATGCTATATTTTTTGTAATCATCACAAAATAACTTATTGTTAGTCATATCCTGTTGAGATAAGCGTATGGTTCAGATCTCATCGCCCAGCGTGGGAGCGGAAATGCCGAGATTCCTAGAAAGCGGCGGTTAAACCGAGCTACTCTCAAAGCAAGGTCGGTTAAAACAAACTGTATTATTTTTTGATCAAAGGCGGATAATCTGACTATCGGTTAATACGAGGTCGGTTAAGAGGGGGTCTACTGTACGTGTTTTTATGTCATACAATATTCAAATTTGTATTCTTCTAATATACGATAGTACTGTATAAGTACAAAAAGTAAATCTTTTTTATCCACAACACTAACTTAGTTTTATTTGTTTTTATAACATTTTCTATTTTATATACGACTTAAGTAATAGTGTAATAACTCATAAAAAATGTCTTTCTTACAGTTTTATTGCTATTACTCATCATTGCATAGTTTTTGTACTCCCAGAGGTAACTTCCGTGTGCGCCCTTTGGTGTTTGAAAATCAATGCGCCCGACGGAAGGTTAAGGAAACATTCAATTTTGTAGAAAATAAAATGAGATGACCTTTATTATGAACTTAGTTCTTTAATGCATTCTATTATCTACAAAAAAAATTTTTTTAACTCTACATCATAAAATTAAATTGAATTTTAAAAATTAGGTTTCTGACTGCAAAAAACCTTGAGCTTTTTATAAAGCTCAGCTCTGGCTCGGCTTGATTGAAAATCTCAGACTTACACATCCCTAAATTTGTTTCTCTATCCATTATCACAACTAACGAGCTTTCTGACAAACAGTGCTACTTACTGCGAAGTGTCATAATCAACCATGATGTTGTCAGAGATCTGGTTTTCCCGGAAGATCTCTTTGATCTGGTCAATGTACAAGATAGCTGGCTGCACCATGTTCTGTAGATAGACACACTGATATGGGTTGTGACTATTGAGGACCCTGACAGCATCCATCTCAGCATTTAGATTCTGAATATTGCACGTGTAGAAGTTTGGATAGAATGCACCGGCCAACACCAACTATATGTAGCATGACAAAGTCTTTGTTACAGTAATCAGCTAGTCAAAACAACTGTGTGCTATCTAAGCGGTACATTTCAGGACCTACTCATTGAGCATAATGTTACTTATAGATTAGGGGTGGGTCTATGTATTAATTTCTTTTCGTTATGAAACAGGGTAAAAATTCTAAAAAGCTACAAGATATTTGCTAAGTCTGCATGTTTGCTACAGTAAAGATATGTCTTTATATAACTACTTATATAACAAACATTAAACCAACTGAAATTTTAATAGGCCAATACAACATGTTTTGTATTTTAGTTGTGTGGAAAGTGGAAACGTAATCTCTTTCTTATCACCTTTTCTTTAATATCAAGAGCTGTATAAAACTCAATATAATCATTTCATTATGTAAACATTGAAATAAACAAACATAATAACAATTAATTCTGAACATCTGTGAATCCTTATAACATATATATAACAGACTATAAAAAAAAACAAAAAAAACTATTTACTGTGATACTGCGAGCGTGTGGGGCTAAAATTAGTTAGGGGTTGGACAAGGGCCGGCATCAGTACTTAAGGACAGGAATTCCCACCCTGGAAGTGGCGTCACCAATTTCAGCAAAAATTGACACTGAGACATCTAGATTCATCATTTTGATAACTCTGAAAAGTCAAACCTCGACCTAGTTGACTCATGCTGATTATGAACTTTGACTCAACAAAATTCCGGCAAACCTCACCTCAACAACGAACCTTGTTTTAATGAAATCCTTAATCTAACGAATATTCGGCATAGCATTATACGGTTCAACAAAACAAATAAATATGGATTTTATTTTAAAACAGCAAAAAAGCTTATGCCCAAGCTAAAGGGGATGATTCAGCCAAACAACACATAACAAATTTAAAAATGTTTTTACAGTCTATGGACAATATATATATATGAAGTCATACTAATTGTTAAAAAACAAGATTTATGTGAACAATCTATAACAAGCCTCTCCTATAACCTTAGTCAAAAAGGTGGGTTGTAGAGCCTCACAGGCTCAAGATTTATGAAAAAAACCTTCCTTTCCAATCAACCGTCCAAAGAGTTTTAAAATTCCCCAATGACCTAAAAAAAGAAACAGATTTTAATAAGTTTAAGAAACGGGTCGCCGGAATTTTATCCCCCTGGAATTTTACCCCCTGGGCAAAGCTGATGTCACTATGACGTAGTAACCTGAGTGGCCAAAAGTTTGTTCGCGGCCGGAATTTTACCCCCGCGGATTTGGAAGTCTAATGAAAATAGTCAGAGCGTGATTAATTAGATTAGCGATGAAAACCGGAATTTTACCCCCTGTCCATATAACTAGCGTTTAGACAACTGAAGATGTACGGGCCGGATTTTTACCCCCGGAATTTTACCCCCTGGCCGATTTTATAAATTGAACGATTGATTTTCTTATTTCTGCTTTTAATTAATTGTAAACATTTCATTATTTAGTAGTCTTTATTTATTTATTTTGTAATCTCAACTAAGTAAACAGAATTCTCTGTTTTTATTTTGATCATATTAACAACAGTTGGCTTTAAAGATCGAATCCTGATACACGAATCTCAAAATTAAAATTAAAAACCTGTTCGATTAGTTAATGTTACAAATAAATTAAGATAGGCTACTTAATAAAATGTTTAATATTAAATTAAAACTGAATGAAGATAAGTAATCATTCTCACTAATTTATACATCTGGCAAGGGGGTAAAATTCCAGGGGTAAAAATCCGGGGGGTAAAATTCCGGGGGTAAAAATCCGGGCCGTACATTCTAGGTTTTTATAATTTGATGTGTTCTGATTAAATTCACAACCGTGAAATTATATGTTTAATTCCGCGTTTAATCCATCAAGCTGATGTCGCGGAACTCAAAAGTTCGCGGCCGGAATTTTACCCCCTGGTGTGTGACGTCACGTTTGCCCAGGGGGTAAAATTCCAGGGGGATAAAAATCCGCTACGCCTAAGAAACAACTCAAAGATTACATATTAATTTTAGCCATTTGTTCTATGGAAAAGTTGTCCACCTCCCTGGCATAGGTAGCTTTGGGTTATATTAATTTTGTATTTAATTCTTAACATTGTTATTATTTTAATTCTTATTATTTACTATTTTCATTGTAATTATATTTCTTTTTATTGACACTATTCATTGTACCACCTTTGTATACAAAAAAAATATGACTAAAGAATATGAATATTCAGTTAAGTCTCTTCAGTATCGTTATATTGACGTTAGACAGGTATAAAACAAACGTAAAATTAACTGAAATTATAATATACAACATAGCTTGTATTAATTGTGTGGAAACGTAATCTCTTATCACCTTTAGTATCAATGGTTTTTCTTCTTTGTTCCACAGAGGCTTGTTCTTGAAACGTTCAGTTTTAATGTTGAAGTTTTTTAGCCTCTTTTTAATCTCTTCCTCCAGGAGAGACACCTCCTTCAGCTGTTTGATCTGAAGCATGTATGTTTTGCACCATCCTGCTTCAGTTCCTTTAGACCTTTGAAACTTCCCCATTGCAGTATTTTTACGCCATACCTACAATAAAAAACATGATTATAATATTTTAGACTGAACGAGTTTGTCTTAGCTAAGAATTATCATAGACTAACCAGCACAAGTAGTCTTCCCATCCCATTATTGATTTTGAAGCTTGTTTTGCGTGTCTAGTTCATGTTCGGTGACACTGATCGCTATTATCGACAAAATTTTGTTTCTTTTAGTTTAGAGTTAATATTATGATTTTTGCTTTAGTGTTTGGTAATACTGTATAACTAAGGGACGAGTTATTGTTTATGATTAGATCCTTTTTTTATGCTATACAGGGTTTTAAATTACTGAAATAACAAGAAACAAATTGTAAACAAAACACAGCCTCTACAATGCTACGTACAGAACTACCTATCAATAAAATCGGCTTTTCCATAAGGGTGACAAATCTACTATGAGAGTATGTTTTATCTATGACATTACTATCCGGTATATTAACCCCATTACCTGGTAGTACTGTATGTGGAAGTATGGTTAGTACTATAATCAGTTCACTATATTTAGGCGGTTTAAGGGGAAGTTCCCCACCACTTTTTAGCGAATTTTCCTATAGGGAAGAGGCTATTACCGTAGGTGGCACGGTAAGACCTAGGCCAGGGACCGATATACTTTTTCATTTTGATGTCTCTTTAGGCTAAAAGCACTAAAATTTATATATATACTAGTGGCTTGTAGGGACATAAGTCCCTATAAGAAGCGCTCAAATGTAAAACAAATTATCGTAAGAATTATATTATCTATGTGTCAGAATAGATATCCCTGTACAACATATTTTTTGTGTGAAAAAAATTTTTGTTTGTCTTTGTTTGCTTTTGTTGACATTATTTTTGTCATGTGTTACTGTTTTAATTTAACCATATGATAATAGTTGTTTTCTTGTTGCTATGATTTTGTTTTTAAGTTCACCTTTAAAAGTTTTGTTCTAAAATGAAATGAATACTATTTAATATAATTGATTAAGTAAATACATTCCATTGGCGCAGTACAAGCATGAACTAAGAAGCTTGTTTTAACTGTTTTGTAAGTATTATTCTTTATTGGATTTTCATACACTACATAATTTGAAGAATACCAGACATGGACAACAAAAATCTACCATCTACATCAGAACTAAGTCAAAATATTGATGTCCTAACCCTAATACAATTGTTGAAAAGTCTTGAATTATTCTCCCAAGTGGAGGTGTTTAGGGATAATCTAAGTAAAACTACGACGAAAAACGAATTTAAACTATAACATAATCAAATGTATTTCTCATTAATGTTTTCATGACAAGGAACATTATTGGACAACAAAACAGACAGCTGATAGTAAACAAACATTCACATAATCTATAGTATGACTATTACAAATAACAAAAGGCAGGCATTTTCAACACTTTCCCTTATTTGCATAGTCATGCCGAGATTACAAGATTTTCTGGCAGGACTTGAAGTCTTGGTTGAGGTATAGGGTTCGTTTCATCGTCAACAAGAGTAACTTCGGCAAAGTTTGACGAAACATAATTGTTAAGCCACTCGGTTGCCTTCTTTGCCGAGTCGAGTGCCGGGTTGCAGTATCGTAAAACCAGTAAATAATTTGGATTTTCATTAAACTATTTTGATAAAGGGTTTTATTTGGTAGAATATTTAAGTGTGTTATCACTCTTTCTAGTGTTTAGTGATTAGAATCATCCTAGACTTGTTTTATTTCATAGAATTTTAATTCATATTGGTTGTCAAGTGATATCTCACCTTCACTATTTTTATATCATATATGGGTTTTTTCCTTGTTATAACCCTCCTCCCCTGCTTTAAAAACAAGGTGGTGCCCTCTTAAAACAAAAACAAAAAAAAAGGCATACAAAGAAAAATACAAAAAAATATACAAAAAAAACTCATAAAGAAATATTAGGCTATTGAATTTTGAAGAAATTAGTTTGAAATTTTGGTCAAACCCCCCACCCCCTAGGCTGAGCTACTGGGACCGCTACAACCGTACCGTACCGACGTTTTCGGTGCACCGCAGACCCCTTCGTGAAAGGTATAAAACCATTGAAAGGAGCAGAAGATTGGCCGACATGGAAAGATCGAGTGTTGGACGTTCTAGAGTTGTTCGACGCGGTTGATATCGTCGAGGGAAAGAGAGAAAAGCCTACCCTCTCTGAGCCTCCGACTAAAACCAAAAAGGAAGAACTTCAGAAATTCAACAAATCCACGACTCAGGCAAAAATAGTCATTTCTCAGTGCGTTAGTGATGATCTACGTGATCTACAAGCAATCTTAAACTCCCCTATACCTAAAAACGTATCAGAACTTAGACAACTTCTCGGTCTTGTCAATTATCTATATATTAATACGCAAGCGGTTTTCTTCTCACAGTCATAACTCGATAACGGCTGGACGGATTTTAATGTTTGAGGTGTCAAATTAAAGGTATTTTCACGTAGATGTGCAAATACGTCTCAGAATATTAAGAAAGGGCACCACTTAAGTACACTTAAGGGCTAAAGTTTGGAAGGAGGCGCTATCTGTTGACATTAGATCAAACTCATTTCCCTTTGTTTACAAATAACATATGGACGTAGTTTGAAATAGTTTTTAAGGTTAACCACAGACTGCAGGACTTAAAACTTCCAGAGCAAAGCCGGAATAGATATTTCCATTTAAACGTCTGTTAAATAAGTCTTAAACGGATGTATGGTTTGATGAAAAAAACAAGTTTAATTTGAATTATTTAACAGTAATGAAGTTATGAAATTAATGAAATTTTTGAAGACAGAACTGAACAATCCAACTATTTCCCGGAATCTCTTTTTACTTTCTCCCCCTATACCATAGTATATGGAGAAAGTATTGTTTTCGTCAAAATTTTCGAGTTTGAGTTTTGAGTGGATATATTCGTTTTGGGCCCCCCTGGACCCAAAAAAGTGGTTTTCGAAGTGATGTCTGTGTGTGTGTGTGTGTGTGTGTGTGTGTGTGTGTGTGTGTGTTGGGGAATGATACATTGTGAGATCCGACGTATGGTTACACACCAACAACGTGAGCTCCGTTTTCAATGTGAGCTCCGACCCCCCGGAGCTCGGATTGAGAAAGCCTCTGATTCGTTGTCCTAGTGACTTCGGCATCACGGAAATACCCGAAATAGCTCGAACTAGGTCGGAGCTCATTTTACTGCTTTTTACCAAAGTGTGCGAGTGTATAGCTTCATAAAATCGACACCACGTCGCGCTACGATCGCGTTTACACTCTTCGATGCACACCAACATGGTTCCACACAGTCAATGTGAGTTCCGCTATTGTTCTGACTTCCGCTCCGCATTTAGTTGTTTTCAGCGCGTTATTCTCGAATTTCTAGTGCCAGAACGCGATCCAGACTACTGTATATCCATGTCGTGTTTATAGGCACTGAGGAGGGGGGAGGTAGCTTCGCCGTCAGCATAGCATTGTTGTAGTCTGTTGCGTTCTCCAGCTGTGTTTACCGCTGAAAATAAAATATTCTTTAATTTATGATAAGGATAAATTGCATAAACCAAAGCCTTCTCTGAGGGTATAGTAATGATTTCCCCGAGCAAAGCTTAGTACCCTGGTACTTATTTATTTTTTTCAAGTCGATCTACCAATTCTCCAAATCAGTAATCAATAGTCAGCTATCTTGAAACAGCTGTTCCGTCGTATGTTCTTTAAAATGCTTAATTGTATCCACAACTAACTGTTTACATTTCATTTCAGTATTAAGTTTTTTTTTTTATTTTATTTCGGGACGTGATTTTTATTTCCTTCCCGATTGTTTGGGGTAAAACAACTAGGTTAAATATTATTGCAGATAGCAATAATATTGAAAACAAGCATCGTACTAAAAACAATTCTGTATAAAAATTAAACAAGTACAGTAACAAGATCTGTTGTTGACTAAACAAATTTAATTTTTGGTTCAATTAACTATGAAACATAAATATAATTATAAAACACCAAATGCTAACCTTATATAGACATTTAACGTGAATACGACACGAATACAACTACATAAAAAAACTTGAGTAAAGTCTTAAGGCCTGATATATGGTTACTTGTAAAACAGCAGTAGAGTTTAATCAGGCAGGCCCAATCCTAAATATTTTAACATGTGCCTATCACAATGTCATTATTTTTGCATGACTTTAATCCTCAATTGTGACATCATTGTGAAGATCTCCCGTGATGACGGAGCCACCGTGACCATGTTCGCGGCGCTATATTCAGTTGTCCAGGCGTCTCAGCAGTCAACACATCTCGTAATCTCGGCGCCTGATCCACAACCATAGATCTCTATATAATACAACAAATCTGTATTATATATATGTCCACAACACGCCCCACGCTCGCGGCCGGATCGTCAACGTGTCCCCGAATGTCCCGCGGTCAGAGCACCATCGCTTGTGAGCACGGTGCCATCATCAACATTACCCGCGTTCACGGCACCATCGCAAACACTTCCCTCGCTGCCCACGCTCATGGCGCGATCGTCAACATGTCTCATGGTTGTGGTACCATCGTCAAAATTTCTCACGGTCGTGGCGTAATCATTGACATGTTTTGCGGTTACGATGCCATTGTCAACACGTCTCGATTATGTCTCCGGTCACGGCATTATCGTCAACATGTTTTGAGGTCATGGTACCAACGTCAACATGTCTCATGGTTCCAGTGTTATCGTCAACGTTTTTGCGGTCATGGCGTTAACCGTCAACGTATCTTGCACTCACGGTGCCATCGTTGACATGTCTCGTGGTCACGGTGCTAACTTCAACATACCTCGTGCCACAGAAAACATATTAAGAACGTTTTCTGTGCTCGAGGTTACTTTGCCAGGATAAATATCTCCCGCGATTACGGATACATCATCGTCTCCTAGGTCCGCCGAACCATATCGTGAAATTCTCTCGCAATCACGGAAGTGTCATCATCGTCACTCGCGACGCAGCGAATCCTTATTTTATCAAAATATACTTGACTATTTTAAAAACAATA